ATAATGTTGCGGACCAACTCTTTAGCTGATATTACCAGATCTAGGATGTNTGCTGCCTGTCCATCTCTGAATCTTGTTGGAAAGTTAATATGTTGAATTAAGAATTTATCTTTCAGAATACTCAAAAATTCATTTTCAATTTTTTCATCACTTCCTCTGCAACTAAATGTCTCCCAATCAATTTCAGGAAAATTAAAATCACCCAACATTAGGAAATCACCATTTAATGAAAGACCCTCAATTAACAAAGATAACAAATTTTTATTGTTTTTTTCATCAGACTTTGGACTTCTGTAAATAAAAACAATATTTAAAATACTTTTGGACATCACAAGTTTAACAGAAATATGTTCTTTGAAATCTGATTTCATGGCAACCTCAGAAACAACTATTGAATTTTTATAGTACAACACCAAACCTCTTTTGTTGACTTCAGCAAAACCTGAGGAAATGATGGAGTAACCATTCATGTTTATTTCAGATAAAACTCTACAATTTCTAAAGTTTTTTGGATTTACTTCATTCAAAACTATCAAATCTGGTGAAATCTCCAAGCTCTGCAAAAATATTTTTAAATCCTCAAACTTGTTAGTTAAAGAATCAACATTGGACATAATTATACTTAAATTATTGTTGTTGTTACAGCTTAAATTATTTATGATGCTAAATTTTGCCTTCTGTAAGCAATCACATGAAAGTCTCCTGGTTTGCCTTTTAACCTGAAAATCCACTTTGTGATATCTTCTTTAGCAGCAATTTCACTTTTTTTCTCTTCAAGAATTTTTTTATTACTGATTCTGTCTTCCTTAGATAGATCATGATTTATTATAACTTTACTAAAACATGTTGAGTTTCTCAGTTTAAAACAGTTTGCAAGCAACAAATTCTTGGTAGTTATACTTGCTAGTTGTACTAAAACTGGTCTTGGTTTGGCCTCCTCTGATTTTCTACCCAACCTGGATATATCAACCACTTCTGACTCAGAATCTATATCAGCAATCTCTTTCAACAGTTTGCCAACACATACCCTGGGGTTATTTTCCTTCTCATCTAAATTATATAATATTATGTTATTTTTTCTTTTTTCCCTATCATTATTAATATCTACTTTGGTAGTTGTATCTAAAATGGATTTTTGCATCTTTTTAACATCAGTCGCAAGAGTGTCAACCTTCCCTTTTACAGCTTCTGAATATTTCATTAACACTTGTTCACTTTTTTCAACTGTTTTTTTAGTTATTTTCTCATTATCTTCCAACTGTTTTAAAGAAGTTATAGATATATTTTCCATTCTTTTTCTTAAATCTGACCATTCTTCATTTTGTGCATATATGGCTTTTTCAAGAATCTCCATTTTTGACATCATGGAATGTGTAATGTCTCGCATTTCACTTTTATAAACTTCCAATGATGGTCCAAAATCCAAACTGGCAGCCTTTTCTGTTTCAACCAAAATTTGTAGCTTTTCCCTATTACATTTCATGCATTCTTCACATAACTTTAATCCCAAGTTATCATTGTCTGTACACTTCAGTTCTGAAACTGTCTTTCGGCTTTTTCTTTCTTTCCATCACTTGCAATCAATTAACGAGATATATTTACCACAAAAGAAACAAATAAATAATTAATTTAAATCAAGTTAAATTAAATGTTCGGTTTTACGAGTTTTACGAGCGATAATACGATAAACGTAAACAAATATATCTCAAAGGAGATATCTTTATACTAAAGAAACTTGAAAATGATTTACGATGAACCGTTAGAAAAACCGAAAAATTAAAGTGGAAGTTAACTAACGCCGAACATGCTGTGATTTTCATCGATAATTGCATTTCTGACAGTCTTAATTCAATAAACCAAAAATAAATATACAACAAAAAAATGACAACCTCACTCCCAACCCGGCGCTAACCAACAATGAAAACAAAGAAGTAATAAAAACTAGCATTGTAAATAGTGACAAAGAAGAATATGATGCTATCGATGAAGAAAAGGTGACCATAGAAGATGACCAGCCAATAAAGAAACCTGACACCTAATTTCCACCTAAGTTCATTTTGACAAAGTCAATATTTCCCTATATAAACAACAACCGCACTGATGATGATTCATTCGGAATCGAAATATGGCCTTATTTGCAGCATGAATTCGGAAAATAAGTTTATTTTGAATTTTAATAAACTAAACATTCACCAAAAATAAACTTTAGTGAGAAAAATCGAAAAAACGAACTACGAACATTTTAACGCCAAACATTCGGTAGAATTTATAGAATATAGTAAAAATTATTGTTTATTACCAACACACACGCACACACACATACGCGGTTTAGTTGCCTGGTCCTGATACGCAATGGTTAGGTTGGAATACGACGAAGGATGATTGCTAGATACATGTATCGAGTGGGATGCGTCTTGTTTATATACGCGGTTTGCGTTGTTTATTCTTCTGAACATGGCAAGAGTGGAAGATACGAACGATTTAATTTGTTGATAAATTTTTAGTTAGTTAAAATTTTGATAATTATTTTAGTTGTTATTTTTAACTGTTATAACAAATGTTAGTTAAGAACAGTTTACCCAAAAGTTTTTTCAACATATTCAAGCTTCCATAATAAAAATGGAATAAAAATAACCATAAATTTGTTTTTACGTCGTGTTACAATTGTTTACGTTTGCTGATGTTTAGAATCTGCATACATTTATTTTTATATATTTCCTGCGTTTTGCATGTAAAAACTTTTTTTAGCATTTTTTTCTCTATACATCTGAATTTGCGCATACATAATGAAGCCGCAGTGCTTGTACGCTTGTTTATGTCATGAAGTTGCGATGTTACGCGTTTCAGGAGGCGTTCACTTGGAGTGGCATGCTGCTTACATGCGAACATTCATCCATGTTGAACTTGCAATTATTTTAAATAAACATAACCGTATAATATTTTACACAATAATATTAATAAATAAGATTAAATATTTTGTAAAATTTGTGTACAAAGAATTGAATCAATTCAATGATTAGATATATAGGTATTACATGCGCATGTCCCGATTCTAATCTTAACGCAAATTTTTCAAATATAAATATAACCTTTTAAAATAAAAATAAATTAATTAAATAAAATTAAATAAATATTTTGCGTAATTGTAATGAGGGTCGCGTTTTGAACAGATGAGAAAAAATTGGTTGCCGTTTTTAAAAAATTACTACAAATCAGTCAACATGACGAGTCACCGACTTAACCAAAAATAGGTTGGAAGCACAAAAAGATCGATGAACATTTTAAATCTTATTTGATTGAAAATCAAACTTTTCAATTTTGTCATATTGCACAAATATTTGTTTGTATAAGCAAAATAAATTATCAATTTTATTTAAACGATGTTTTATATTTCTTTGATTTTGGTTAGGGGTTAGTCACTTTTCCTCGTCCGTAGTTATTTAATTTTAAGTTTCATAAAGTTTTATTCAATTGATGAAAATTATTTTAACTTCAAATCTCTTTCAAATATAACTCACAAGGTTTTTTAAAAATCATGATAATAAACGAGCGAAAATTCGAACATCACTGCTTTATTTTTTTTTTCGAAAATCTTGATTTTACAATTCTCAATTTTTCATTTTTTCAATCTCATTTGTATCAGCTGCTTTCATAGCTGGAAGTAATAATGTCGACAAGTTTATTGTTTTCTATAAACATTTTTTACTCTTGTTAAATAATAACAAAAAATTCGTTCTTTAAGGATGTTCCGATAACTTTCAAATGTTGATTGAAATATTTTTTTAAAATATCGACATGCTTTTGATCATAGTTCTTCAAAATTAAAATATATTGTTGATAAGTACAAACAAATTTAAATGTCGCCAAGAAATGCATATAAATAATTTTATCATACGTTTTGTAATGCGTTAAAATATATCTTAACATATAGAACATATATGTTACTTAAATCGATTCTTCAAGATACTACAGTTTGTAAGTTTATTTGTTTTATTTGAGCTTCGAAACTTTCCCACATTTAATCAAATTTTATTTTATTTGAGCAGTTTTAGTTGTGGCTTCATTTGTAAAATTTAATTAATTCAAATTCATTCTACTCAGACACGGGAAAATATTTTTCGACGAAAGAGTTCATAGGGTGCTAGCAATTTATTTCGGATAGGATTTTTCATTGCTTCACTGCATTAAAATTTAGAGCGTAAATTACGATTGTATACATTTTCAAAAATTTTACGACAATTTTTTTTAAATTTACATTGAAGCAGCTCTAAAAAGTGAATTGGTTTACAGAATTTCTAAAATGTTGTAGAGATGTTTGTAAAAACATTTTTTTCAGGTCACAAAAAATTTTAAGACTTTGTTTCATTGAAGCGTTTTACTAGTTTTGGTCAATTTATATTTATTTTAAAAAATTGAGTTCAGTTTGACATCTACAAAATCAGAACATTTTAAAATTTGACGTTCAAATGGATGAACATGTAACACAAAACTTATTTTAATTTTGAAGACAATATCTTTATAATAAACATTATAAACATTGTTTTGAAAAGTGCTTATAAAAAATTAAATGAATTGATAGGAATTAAAATCTAATAATGTCCCGTTATTTTCTTTTTTACTAAAATTGTATAAATAAAAGAAGAAAAAAGCGCCAAGCTGAAAACATGTAGAGAAAAAAAGGAATAATTTAAAAGGACGAAATTCGCGGTGGATAGACTGATGGAAAAGATCGAAGAAAAATAACGAACAAAATAAAAAAAATACGTTGTGATCTCTCATTCAACTAATGCAATCAGAGGACTGACAGAAATTAGAAACAGGATAATGATAGTTTTTATGAAGGTGATGATGATGTTTGTACCAGAAGCTTAGCCCACTGACAAGCTTTGGGGCCGGATCAGGATTAAAGAATGGGAGAACAAGCTGCTGCTCTGGGATCTCCACAAAAGGGCCTTCCTATTAAAAAAAATTATTCAAACCTTGAGGGGTTAGGAAAAACTAAAAACTTGCTGAACTTTTGCTTTTGTTGGTTGAGCCTCTGCTGACAATACTCGCACAAACACTTTTCTACATTTGTTAACGCGGTAATTCACTTTTTAATAATAATTTGTTTTTAGACGTTGGTCTTTGTTGGCAATAAATTTTTAGATGATTTTGCGTAATTTTTGGCAATATTTTTTATATCATATTGCTTGTCTGATCTGTTTTGTGTATGATTGAAAAACAATAGAAAGTAAAAATATATATAAAGTAAATGATGATAAAATTAAAAACAATTCGGAGTGTTGAGTAGATATAAACAAAATCTGAAGTAACAACATTTACTTTTGTTAGTACAGCATTTTGGTTTTCTAGAATTCTTGCTGTTTTCCAAGCTTATAAAAGTTCAAAGAGCCAGTCAAGTAAATAAACATCGATAACATAAAATACCAACATCGTCGACGATATTGATTGAGGACTTTGAATGTGATGTGGTAGTTTAGTTGGGATGTGGTGGTTTTGTGATGATGCAGTGGTTTTTGTATTATGGGTGCGGTGTACCTGTATGCCCTTATTGGCTTAACCGATCGTAATATGGGGCGGAAAAAGCTGAAATTATTTTTAAACCTTGGGCCGATCCGACAACGTGCCCAAATTATCAAACTACTTCTCAAACATTTTTTCACTTTTTTAACTTCAACGTTTAAAAATTAGAATTACCATCTTGAATTTTAAATTTAACTAAATCTTGGTTTATATTATACTAAAAGCAATCCTTACCAAATGTGCAGTTAATTATTTAAGATCATCAAAATATGTTCAATTGAAAAAAATAATATATCTTTTCATTTACAAATCTATTACATATTTTCATGAAAACTAAATGTGTAACAATTTTGTGACCTCACTGATTGAGGTGGCTGGGTTTCAAGGTTAACAGAGAGCTTCCTTTGAATAATATAATTAATTTGAAAAAATATCACACAGGCCTTCGAATAGAAAAAATATTTTTGTTCAAATAAAATTAAATAAAAGGTTTTTTTTAAGAAAAGATTACTAAATTTAAAAATTGGGAGAATGGAAAATTTGACTAAATTAAAAAAATTATTGTCAAACATTAAAGAGATAATCTGATATTTTAATGAAAAACTAAGTTTGAATAACATCATCATAAAAAATATTACACAGTATAATAAAGAGGTTTTGAAGTTACAGACAAAGCAGTGCAGTGCAGAACAACCTCTTTAGCAAGAGAACACTAAAACCAAAAAGATTTTATCGACATGGCAACTGCACCACTGAGACGTCTATTTATTAGAAACATCTCGACACCAACGAATGACCGTGTTAACTTTCCACGCAAAAATGTCAGTACCATAAAATATTCAAAGGTATTAATATTGAAGACAAACATAAAATACAAATGTGTGTGTATGAATGTATGCATGTATGTATGTATGTATGTATGTATGCATGCATGCATGTATGTATGTATGTATGTATGTATGTATGTATGTATGTATGTATTATTATTATTAGAAAACTTAATATAGCGTTCGTTATAGCAGTTTTTACAAACGCTATCAAATTATAACTAATATTAATAACAAAATAGCAAGAATGAAAAGAGATGAACTATAATGAAAAAAAAATATGTCTTTAATTGTCTTTTAAATTCAGCAATGTTTATTCCAGGCATTCTGAGGGCTGACGGCAAGCCGTTCCATACGACAGGGCCTGACACAGCAAAATCACGCGATCCAATCTTTAGCTGTCTATGTGGAACCACAAGAATGTTCGAATCGTCAGACGCACACCAGATGCGATCGACGTTTTTAATTTCAGTTTATCTAATAAATATTTTGGAGCTAGACCATTTAGTGATTTGAAAACTGTGACAGAGATTTTAAAAACAATTCTTTTATTTATGGGCAACCAATGCAAATCACTCAGGATCGGTGTGGCATGATCATACCATCGACATCCAGCCACAATCCACGTTCCACTCCTTTTGAGAACGGGTTTCGATATCAATCCCCGCTCTTTGGACAGTCCAGAACCCATCAAAAACTTGGGTTCTGAAATTGTCGGAATATATTTTATCCCTGGGCAACAACAAATTTTGGAGAAGAACCGTGGCAGCAGCAGAAGCAAAAGAGCAGAAGGTGCTAAATCTACGACGGTACCTAAAATGCTTACGAAAATGCATATTGCAAACATGGCAACGGGTAAGACCTGAGCCAGATGCTTGACTACAAGGCATAGTGCAGAATGGAGCGCCTGAACGGAATGGTTCAACCAAGGTTAACAAGTCAAGCCAATTCAATTATTGGCGTAGTTAAAACCAAGTTAAAATCAAACAACATAGAGGTAACGAAAACAAACAGTGGTAAAAAGGACGGATACCACTTGGTGACGGCAACAAACAAAATGGAAATGTGGTATAAAAGACGACTACCACTTGATGAGGGCAAAATGGAAATGTGGTATAAAAACGGATACCACTTGATTGAAAGAGCGAACCAGATGGGGTTGTGGTATAAAAGACAAATACCACTTGATAACAAAATGGGAATGTGGTATGAAGGACTGATACCACTTCATGAAAGCAACAAACAAAATGGAAATGTGGTATAAAAAAACTTCGATTTTATTTTATTTTTTATTATCATTATATTATTTATTTATATGTATGTATGTATATATTTTATTTTTTTTTTTGAGGGTTTGCTTTGGTGAACGAAGCGCTTTGAACTAGCTATAGAGAAAAACAAGGACAATTATGGAAATAAGATAAAATAGTTATAAATACAATGGATACTAAGGAATATTAACCAAAAAAATTATAAACAATGAAACGCAAAAACGTGAAAATGAAATCTGTATTTAATAAACAACAGGTAAAATAGGCGATACGACACCATTCAATACAAGACCAGCAAGAGTGCACGAACAATGAATGCACTGTGAACGTAAACCGTCAAAAAAAACCTAAGAAATTTTAAGAAAATGCCGAAAGAATAATATAGTTAATTAACAGAAAAAAAGAGGAGAAAAAGAAAAAGATAGAAGATGAATTACGATAGAGTTAATATTTTTTTTCAAGATATTTCTTAATTTTTTGTATGTATGTATGTATGTATGTATGTATATATATATATATATATATATATGCATGTACATGAAAGAAAAACGTGAAAAACAAATCTTCAAAAGTATCATCAACAGCAAACATCTGCAGATGTGACGTCTTGGTAGTCACTGGCGGAAGATCTTAAATTGTTAGAAAAATGCTTTGCATGTAGTGAACTCTGAAAGGGATATTTTCATGCGTTGGACCTTTTTTTGGTAAGTTAAAAGAAAACTTGATTTCAACGGGTTTTGTTGGCACAAAACAATAAAAATATGTTCATGCAAAATATCAATCATTTATCATTTTTCTAAACACAGACACACACACACACACACGCAGAAACACACACCACACACACACACACATATACATATATATATATATATATATATATATATATATATATATATAACCATATTTACCATATATATATAACTAACTATATATATATATATAGTCAAGCTTCACGTGCCCCTAAGGTTATATATATATAAACCAACAATAGACCGTATATGGAGACCACAACACAATATAAAATCAACAACAACAAAAACGCCGAAGTGTTTTGCAAGTCAATACAGTCGATAAGAATGTATGTTTGTTGCAGTTGTCTAACTCAATGAGCACTGATGTGTGTGCGGGAGTCGTAGGGACAATGACGCCTCGTGTACGCTCTGCATCCTTTCAGAAACAATTGCTTTAGTTAGTAACACTTTTTGTTTACAAGAAGAGTGATCACATTCACATTTTGCTTATGAAAACTGCTTAATATTTCATGAACAATTGAAAAAATAATCTAAAAAGACTATCACTTTTTTAGGATGCCATGGTATAAAAATTTCATTTTATTCATTTATTCGTGTTCAAGTATTTTTCACACGAAGCTAGCATCCATGCAACACAAAAGCGATCACACAAATACAAACAAACATATGCGCAAACAAACACTAACAAACAACAAAACAAACACTTATGCAAGCACAAACAAAAAACACACAGACGCACACATACAGACTAACAAACCTACCCACCTTTAACGTAGATAAGGTGGCTCACCGATCCGAGCAGTGCATTCTGTGGTCCATGTACGTCGCACGTGTAATTTCCTGTGTCTTCAATGCTCACATCTTCCAATTGGTGGTTTATTTGTTTATCAACAATTTTATATTTATTATCATTACATCTATAATTTAAATTTAATTTATTACTGGAGTGTTAATAATTTTAAAATAATAATAATAATAACACGAGCAACATTATTCATTTTTACTATTACTATTATTTACAAGTTTGTTTTAACTTTGTTTCTTGTCTTTATCTCATGTTTTGCCCACATTGCGTCATTAAAAAACAGACGCTCATCGATGTTAAGGCTCGCGAACAATCAGCCGCACTACACGGATTGCATCTGTGGCGGGCGTCTGAATGTCCTTTCAATGAAAAAATTTCAGAAGTTGGTTCTTAATCCACATGTTACAGGAGTCAAGTTTTTTATTTAAAAAAATATGTTAGCATTCAACAATAAAATTGTGTTGTTGATTCTTGCAGGCGTGAAACAAGCTCTGCTATTGTCCGGGGCACCCTGTATGTCCCGTTGTTTTATTAAAAGCGGTTGCATGCATTCTTATAATTTCAAAATTGTTTCAAAATTGTTCTGGAATACAAATAAAACAAATTATTCATTTTAGTTTATTTTTCATTAAAATGATAATCAAACACTTTCAATCAGTTTTAAAATTGTATTGACAATTTTATCTTCCAATTTTAAAAGTCTAACAAATAATTGCATGTGATGAATATAGAAAAATTTATTAGTGCTGCTTCACCCTAGCCAAAAATTGGTTTCAAAGAAAATACTTTAGATGGATGATGAAATGTACTTATGAACGTCTTTCCATAATGTAGAACAACACATCTCAATCAATTATATGAACAGACATCTCAATCAATTATTTGAACATCACTTGATAAACCTAACCGTTCCGAACTTTTGAGCAGCTAAAAATAATGAAAGCGAAAACTACAGAAGCAAATAAGTTGACAATGAACCGGACCAAACGAATTGAGTGTGCATAAAAGGATGCTTTAGGTTGGAGATAAATTAATTTTTTATTTCAAACTCTATCTCAAAAACAAATGAAAATGGAAATAAAAAATAAATTTTTTAAATCTTTCTGAAGTATATCGATTGAAATCATACAATTACTTTACATTAAAATAAAAACTTAACGCACACTGTTTAAAATGCAAACATCTTCACCTGATGAATATACAAAATACTTTGCCCCATAATTGTATAGATTGATAGTACAAAAAGCAAAATATCTATCGACGGTCTTCAATTTTTTCTCTTCTTTTTCCTTTTCGATAACATAATTTTTAAATTATGTTTTCTGCGTTTGTGCTCACCAACAAAGCATGAGCGCGCCTTTCTAATAAAAAGTATTTCATGCTTCATGAAGTCACAAAAGTCACAAAAAACACAAAAAATTGTAATAATAGTTTAAAAGATAATGCATTAAAATAATTTAAAATGCATATGAAAAATTCTTATTCTTGTTACTCTCCATCAATCAACGAGCCTATTTACACGAAACTATTTGACGGGAATCAGCATGAAGCACTTACCTGCTGGCTGTATTTCAAAAACTGGCTAATTTTCAAAAGCTGGCTTCCATCTACCGATGAAGACATCAACAATCAATATTATTTGAATAACATGGAAACAATTGTCGCAACTTTTGAATTTGTTATTCAAATGTCCTGTTCTACACTGGCTCACTTCACTTCTTTCTTATGTGAAGACCTCCTACAGAGAACTGAAATGAAGTTTTCAAGTACGATACAATCCTTGCAACTTCAAGTGGCAAAACCTTAAAAACATTTGGTCTGCAGAGCAATGTGCATAAAATAACAATTAACAAATAACTGAATTAATAACAAGAAGGAGAATCGAAAGCTAGAAAGCTTAAAAGTGTGAGCTAAGAGTTAAGAAGGTTAAGAGTTAGCTGAGAGTGTTAAGAGAGTCTCCCGAGTTTAGCTGCGCTCATTTCATATCCTCATGTAGCTCAAAGTCAACGCCTGCAATTTTTGTCTTCCTCGTTCCTACTGTCTCACTCTTTATATTTCAGTTTGTGTCTGTCCGTCTACATATTTCGTTGGCAAACCTTGTGGTTTGGAATTGTATTGTGTGGTTTCTAATTAAAATCTTACTGTTATTTATGGAATTTGTGTATCAGAACTGTAAACTTTTGTAGCTTTAAATTATGTGCATGTGAAATTATTTTTCACATGTATTTTAAATTATTTAAATGCATTATCTTTTTAATTGTTATAAAAATGTAATCAACATCAAAAAGCTGAATGTCAGTAAGAATTTTAAAGTCAACCCTAATGCCAATAACAATCAGTTGTGCTTACATAATCTTATTTCAAATTTTTATAAATCAATTTTCTAAGTTGATTTTAAAATAAATTTTGACTTTGAGCAATTTCAAGTTCATCGAGTAAAATATCTGAAAAATTTACAAAAAAATACTGTTGTAAATTACGTTCAATATCTGAACGCGATAAATAAAATTGCTAAAAATGAATTTTCAACTTTTAATTATATTATTACATTGCTTAATTTTTTTCCGCAGTAACACTTCAATTTGTTTATACAAACACAATCATTCGTTATCACACACTTATAATAATAATAATAGAAACACAATTTTTTTTAACAAATTTTAAAAAATAAACCAGAAAATACCCCTTCAAGTAAGAACAGTAACCAAAAAATGTCGAATTCATCAGGAAATATTAATGGAATGCGTTAAGTGGGAACATTTTATCTTCAGAAAATGTTGTTGAAATATTTTTAACTGCTTCTAGGTGAACGCTAACAGAGAAAACTGCAAACCAAAAATAAATTGACTATAGGAGTCAACTTAGTTTCTGTTACTCAGATCAGACTATAGGAGTCAACTTAGTTTCTGTTACTTAGATCGTACACTTCTTACATACACACACTTAAAGAAAAACTATTAAAACATGTGACAAAAAGCGTTGATTGGATGTTTTAAAAAGCTTCAAATTTGAGCTCTGATTAAAACCATGGTTTGAAGGTATTATTTGAGCGTTACTTTTTTTTATATTGTTAAATGTGGGTTGTTACTGGTAAGCTATAACAAAATATTATACCAGTTTTGTTAGCCAAACAACTAATTTTTCTAAAATTTTCGAGTAATATTTTATTTTTAATGTATAACTAATACTATTTACCAAAAGCGATGTATTTATATTTTTAATACTCATTAAAATGTGTTTTCTTTAAAAGATACAAAAGTTTTTCTACACTAACAAATGCATAGAGGCATACTCTGGCTCTTGCAGAAACAATTAAATTGCAGGAATAATCAGGAGGCCGAACACATTAGGACGCAAACTTAATTGCAACAAAAGGTACGCACCACGCAGCCGTCATCAGCCGCAAGATGAGGCTTACACTCTCACACGTTCGTGCATTTTCTCGATCCACCGTGAAATAAAATTGTGGCAGTGGCATGTTCAGCTCAATGTCATTTCATTCATCAGATGTTTTTAAAATAGTTTTTTTTTTCCGTTGAAAAATGTTAAAATAATTTTTAACTAGATAATAATTTGATGATAAGAATACTTTAAATTTTTATGGTATAAAGTGTTGAGTATCACAAGATACTAATAGTCACAAAATCAACAAATAATAATAAAATCAACCATCAATTTTGGAAGATTGAAACAAACAAGCAACGATATACATTAAAAACATTTGAGCATTAGTAATAATTGTTTGGACATGAACGATTGATACAAATTTGACAAAAATATCTTGTAGGCTGATTGACAGGATTTTTGTCGACTATGCTGCTTGCTGTTCAGCCTTGAGAGAGTGCTGCAGTTGTTCATGGTGTATTGGTATGCTGTGCGCTCAACTGATCTTCCACTAATTTCAAAACAGAAATGAAAGCTACTTTGATTTAACGTAACATTTACAAAAATTTTCATTTGTTTGAACTGTAATACAAAATTGGTAAGTTTCAATTTTGTTATACAATTTTTTTATTAAGCAGTTTAATAAAAAAACGATCAGATCAAAAAAATTAAAATTCGATGCTAAAATTTGAACAGATAAAACTTAAGAACAACAAAGCTTCACAAGGACTGAAATGAATGGCGCTGAACTAAATAACCAGAAATTTCTAAAGCTGTGCAAATATACCTTTGGAACTTCAACTTAAAAAATTTCAATACCTTAAGGAACATTTGTGCTCTGCCGCCTGGTATTAAGGTGCGTGCAAGTCAAACCTTGTTAAGCATTTGTATAGCATAAAATAAAGTTTGTTTATAACAAAATATTAAAAACGTTTATTAAATTTAAATAAGAGAAACGGTTCAACCAATTATCACCCATATTATTCAAGATTTTAAACTCTGGAACAAAAAAAAATTAAAAGTTTACATTGGTTTGCTAGACTAAGAAACCGCGGTAAATACTGTGATGATAACGAGTGAGATAAATATACCTGTCAAGAATGCGTATGTTTGTTTTTGTAGGTTGGAAATGTTTTGCATTAGAATATGTAATGAGCAGGCGTTTGTTGTTTCCTTCCTTACATGTTTCTACCCTGCTATATGCTGCCGATGTTTTATGTATGTGTCCTTTGTAGTTTAGTCGGAATATGTGCTTTCTTATATTTATGTGCACATATATCTTCATTTCTGTACAATTTTCACAAATATTAGAATTTTTCAAATGTTTGGACGGCTCATCTACTGAAGATTCTCTTACACTTGTGCACTTGGTTATCAAAGTTTAATAATAAATATTTATAATTTGATAAATAATCAATGGTTTTAATAGTTTTGATTTTACGAAACAGACTTGAAAATATCTCCTCAGCTTGAATCAAGAATTATTAAGAGCCGATGTATATAACTTACCAACATACAGCGCTGCATGAATTGTTTTCCTACGCGCAATTTTTTAATCCACTGACATCGACCCGACATGCGCGCAAAAATCAAAAAGGTTCTTAAGAAGACATACGACGATGATGAAAATGATTGACTTCCATTTGAAACCATTTTCGCTGTTTTCTAACACAAAAAGTTATTACATATATCCACATGTATATTATATAAAGAAGACAATGTTGTATGAATTCTACCGAATTTTGGCATTAATCAATTTAAAGTTTGACTTTACAATTTTCTTTACTAAAATTTTCTGGAAATTGTTCAATTTATTGAATTTAAAAATTATTATCCAAGTTCATAATGAAAATTTAATGAAAATGTTGTTATCCAAATTCGCAAGGCAGATAGGCCTTATTTCATTTTTTTTTTTACAAATGTTTATATAGCTTTTTTAGACCAAGCCAAGTTAGTTACTTAGCAAAGTGAGATAATTAGTTGGCGTCGTATTCTTCATCTTCCAAAATATTTTATCTGCCTTCAAACGAAAATGAAAAAAAATAAATTTAAGGTAGAGGACGACAGTGCGGATGAGGACAGGCTGATCCAGCACAGCCACCTTACAAAAAATATTCCAATATTAGTACATAAATTTGAATAAAATACTTCATCTATTCACAATGTTACTAGACTTAAAATTGACACATCAATAAATCCATACACATAGACTTGTGATTTAAAAAAAACAAGCAAATTCATTCTCTAGTTCTTAGAAGACTTCAACAAAAGCCATTTTAATTCAGGCTCAAAACTTGCGATTGTTCTACCATCATAACAAAAACCTTTCTTTTTCTGACACCTTTACCATAATTTGCGTGTGTAAAGTGTTTGTTTTATAGCTGTTAGATAATTTATAATTCAATCGTCTCGGGTATAATTTTATTTACTGCAAAATAATTATTATAAGAAACGGGAAGTTTTTTTGACAGTCGCTTGAAGACAAATGATGCTTTGTAATGAAAATCCAATTGGTCAAAATTTAAATAATTAGTTGCTATGAAAAGTTCACGGTGTGAGACAATTGCTGGGACGAAGTAACAATCCAGATAGCTCTTTTCCTTTCGCCATTTTATCCGATTGGTGATGGAATGAAACGAGTCTGACCAAGCAGTGTTACAATAGTTCACATGTAGCGTGCAAGTAGAGTTATATACAATACTCATACGTTTTCTCGGTAATAAAAAATTATTTTATTTACCATGCTTAATGCTTTAACCCGAAATCTAAATGTAAGTTTTTCATCTAGGTATATTTCCAAAATTTTATCACTTGCTCTTCGTTATTAATTTCAATTTTATAAGGCTCTTTATGATTAAAGTATTGTATTGGTCTGAATATAACCAGCAACAATCTGTTGTGCATGAACTAAAATGATTTAAATTCTCTCTCGTACTTCTTTACTGAAACGATATGTTGTAATATCTGTTGCAGACGTAGTGGCAGATCGTTCCAAACCCTAAGCAGAACAAAATGCACGCGCTCTCAGCTTCGTTTTTGTCTTTGAAACAACAATCGAACTACATTGGTATTTGTCTTTAGCAAAAAATCCTCTTCAAGTAGTTTGATCCACTGCGAATAACCAGCTCCCTCTTGCAACAAATTTTTTCTCTAACCGTCCAAACTTTTTAACCTCCTAGTTACATCCATACCAACACCGACACAATCCATCATCTAACCTAATCAAAATGATACAAATGATACCACCAAGCTGGTGACAAAATTAGCGGGCGGGCATTTTTTGATAAGGCCTAACTTTATCAGCTGTAGAAAGCATGTGGATACAAGTTCTACCCTTTGTGGCAGTACACTCAACCGCCATCGAAGACCACTCCTTTCTAGGGTTGAAACAGTTCAGCCAAACATAACGTATTTCATTGTTAATGCGCTCAACATCGTTCTAAATAAAACGATTTTTCAAAAAATTCATTAATTGTTTTCATATTTTTAATTAAATTATTTTACTCAAGACTGAATTGTAATAATGCATTAAATTTTTTATTCAGATACGCACCGCATTCAATCATCACACATTAAACAATGTAACCATTCTTAATTAAGTTTTCATGTCAATTTCTTAGCTTACAAAAATGTAACTCAAATTACATGAAAAAGCTCTTTTTTTTTGTCGGCTGGCCACATTTAGCTGTGCGGTCTGTTTAAGCGGTTTCTGTTGTGAAAAAATAAATCTATTCATAAAAATTTAAGTCGGTATGAAATACTTTTGAAGGCAGACTAGTGATGAATGTTGCAATAATAATAAGATATAATAAGAAACGTTTGAAAAGAACACATCAAGAAATATTGCGAAACCAAACACACCGAATTCCTGGGCATTTTTTATGTATGCACATCTGTCGCATGCATAAAAATTATTGGCATGATAAATATCAGCTTATACTTACACTTTAATTAACATTCCTGAAAAATGCCGGGTTGGTTTGAAAGTCATTAGATACAGGAGGACTGGAAATTAATTTGAATGCAGAACTTAAGTTGCAGCAACAGAAGGACTTTACTTATATTCATAATTCGAATGAACTATGAGCGAAACATAAAAGTAAAACAAAAACAAAAATAAAAATATTTATTTAAAAAGTGAAGTTATATTATTCTCAGACGTTTCTGGCGTATGTGAATATCAACTAAAAATTTGTTGTTGTCGTGCATGGTGCCGTTTCTGTGTTGAACAAGTTCTGGTTTTATTTCTTGAATTTTTGAAGTTAAATGATTAATCCTCAATCAATGTATTTTATGAAAAAATGTTCCTATAAGAGTCCATTAATAACGTTTTTAACGATGCAAGATTACAATGTAAATCGTCACATCACTTAAAATAACACCTTTCATTTATTATGTCAGCGTATGTGTAGGCCTACGTATCAATCAATATAATCTTCAAATAGTTCAGAACGTTATCAAAGTTAAAACATATACATTTTATTTGGTGCAATTAGTTATTGACAGCTCTATCCCAATCTAATTTCAACAGGAGTCAAATCATTAAAAAAATGCCACCATGCCAAAGAAATTAAGGTTAATTATACACATACAGATATGTGGTTTGTATACAATCATAATTAGTGTATAGAATTATAATAAACTTCCATTACGGTAGGATAAATTTTCAGAACAACCAATATAACAAAGGACAAATGTTGGAGCAACAAACATTGCATGGGTAAACATAAAAAACTGCAGAGCACGTGTCACGTGGCTGTCAAAGTTGCAGCCCCTTCTTGTTGTTGCCACTCTGAAAACTGTCTCCTACAAAAATTTGTGCACCAAACGACTAACTATTCTTACTATGATGACTACTACTACTACTACTACTACTACGACGACGACAACGACGACGACTACTACTACTAATAATAATAATAAAAATAATACTACTACTAATAATAATAATTAATGTAAAATAATAAATACTAATATATACTAGTGTTAAAAGTATTCACCAACGCTCGTCATTTACATAAGAGTGCAAGGATGATGAGGAATGATGGAAGAAATTGTTCCTCATGTTTCTTTCCCGAATTAATTACGCAATTTATAAAGCTGTCTTTAAAAAAAAACATCCGTTCAGGATAAATTAGTTAATGACAGTTTAAAAGGATTTCAGAACCTATAGGACTAATTTTGAATGTTTCAATTAAAATATAAATTTTTTTAACAATTATTTATACTAATAGTAATTATAACAGTAATAATAATAACAATAATAATAATAACAATAATAATAATAACAATAATAATAATTGGGTGTTAGGTAGGCAGTGAGATGTTGGGAGGTGCAATGGAGTGGAGATCAGATCTCATTAATTAAATAAACATTTGCAGCATTCATTCATCCATGCATTCATTCATTACATGCATCCATTCATTACATGCATCCATTCATTACATGCATCCATTCATTACATGCAAAAAGCACTGGAGAGCACTGACTTGAAATCTTGAGATTAAACTTGCGTACATTGCCATCAACGCTGGACGTTGCATCGAACCTGTGTGTGTCTTGGAAGGGTTCTAACATGACGGAGTTTATATTTATCTCGACGTCTTCGTCCATTTGTATCTGCGTACAATTGTTTAAACTTTATTTAGTCGAGTGATTTTTTTGTTTCTAAGCAACTGAGTTATTTTTGAAATTTAATTAATTTTATTTAATATGATTCGATTAAATCGTTTTATTAAAAATGTTTCATAAATATGTTATAGATTTGAAATTTTAATAAATTTTAAAAGTTTAATGAAAATATTTTTTATTGCTTTTATGCCGCACAAACGAATCTAACAATCGAGAATATAAGACAACTACGACGAAAAAGAACATTGCCAATACAAGTCTCATCATAATCAACGAACATCCTTCCATTGAAGGCAGCCAACAAGTCGTTGCCAAGCATAAATAAAAACGAACACATTGTATGACTGTGTTGAGTATGTAAGTGTATGCATTGGATTCACTTATGAACAGTCACCTTCCTCCAGATGACGGGATTATCGAAGATATCAAATCTGCTGATGAGGAACTCGCACGGAAGAAGGACGTTGTTGCCTCCACTCAGCCTCAGTGTCTGGCTCTTCGTTATGATCTGCAACTCACCACCGCCTGCCGCTGTTTCACGTCGTTTCAATGTTTAGTTCGGCAGTAGGGCATAATGAAACATGATGACAACAAACAATTAGTTCTAAAAACACATTATTAATTTAATATAATTATTTTATTAAATGAATTAAATAAGAAAGACAAATTTTAAACATTCGAACTTTTTAACAATAATAGAAAATGTTTTTAATTTATTTAATACTTATCAGACAATAATCGATATTAAAAAAAACCAACGCCATGATCAGTTGAAGGAAACTGATAAGCAATGGAATTAAAAATAAGTCAAGAAAATTTTATTATTTGAAATTTAATAATAAGAACACTTAAAGAAATTAAATTAAAGCTTGTGTTTCTTTAAAACCACAATTGTTTCATAAACTTTACATAATTGTAGCCAAAACATTTTTTAAACGCAACATATTTAAGACCAAATTTCTGAATAAATTTATGCCGACACTTTTCATGAGGAACTTTCAAAAAGCAACGAAAAATGTGTGTATAAATTATTTTGGCTTGTATAAAATACATTAAAAAAAAATTTTGTATTAGTAGATTTTTCACCGGCACATGCAAATACGCACATTATTGGTGCTGACAGATGAGATGGCTCTTTGATGAATGGATGATGAAAAAATGATGCAAACTCACGTAAGCAGGCGTATGTGTTAGAAGCGCTGCTGCTAAGAAAGAGGCGTTGTTGTGCAGTGCAGGGTGGTGCGGCCCCTGTCGCCTCTCTTTATATCAATATTATTGCGCTCTTGTGTTTCTAATGTTCAGCTGCATTGCGTTGTGTTTCTAGAAAATAAATAAGGCAGTACAAATTCTAATTTCTTGTTAGTTGAGTTTCACTGAGTACATAATAATAAATAATGTTATGTCCAAACACACCACGCTTGTTTTTATTTTGCCTTAAAAACTTGCAAACCATGCATTAGCCTCAAAATGAAACTCACAAAAAATAAATTACTAAATTAAATTGTGGATGCAACAAAAATTTTTTAAAATTTATTTCCTTCAAAATTAAAGATGTTTAAAAATCTTTTAAAAATTTATAAAACTCAAAACAAATGTGAGATTATTTCAGTTGGAATGCACCTTTTTGCCTCACGCTTATAATTGTGAAATGAATTTTGCTAACTGCGTTAAAATTGTGAAAATTCTCATTCAGGATTATTATTTAACTTGAAAGAAATTTTGTTTGAAGATGCAAAAAATAAATTTCTGTTTGGTTGGACATATTCCGATTTTTGCGCGTTCTTATTAGCATTTATTTGATCAAATATTAACATACTGAGCCAATGGTGGATCTAGACAACTTTGACGGAAGGGGCCAAAAATTAGAAAATGTTTTATTTTTAAGGAGAGGGCAAAGTTTTTACGGGGGGAGGCCCAGATTTGTGATAGTGTGACTGACAACCTTTTTTTGCTTATTACGTTCAATTTGAGATCGATCATGTTACACATTAAAAGGTCCTTTTTCAAACTTTTATTTAAAACTGCTCACAATGGGGAGGGGGCAGTTGCCGGTCTCCCTAGATCTGCCACTGTACGGAGTGTTAATTAAGCATATTTTAAACAAATTGTGTTCGTTTTCTATCTAACCATTGTTACTCACGGCGCACCATGTTTTTATTAATTTTTATTGGCTCGTTGGCTTGCATCGTTGTGTTCTTTGGAACATGTTGCGAACGATTTGTTACTGACATTTTCACTGGTTTCCGTTGCAAATGTTTTAATTGAGTTTACAATTTTGTTGTTTCGCAAAATGATGTTCAAAGTATTTTTTTTGTTACTTTGCATTGTTACTTAGTTTTAATTCTGTGGTAAATTTGTTTAAAAGTATCTTAAGTTTTAATGTTTGGTTTTATAGCTGGGTAGGAGGATGATTTCATTTTTATGTTGTTGTTTCCTATGGACAGAACCATGTTAGTGTGGGATTAAACCGTACAATATAAAGGAACAGCAATAAAACTGATTAACAGATAATTGTCTAAAAATACAAAAATTATTTGCCTGTAGCTGCAAAAACAAACAATAATTTTCTATTCTGGTAAAAAATTGATTTCGTTATACTGTAAACATTTAAATAACAAAAACACGACAAATTTACTGAATTATTTTTTGTTTTTTAACGATATTTGTTTAAAGTGATGTAATTGAAAAAGAAATTTAAAACTTAGCAAACGTTTCGAGTTTCAAATCCAAATATAACTCAGGATGGCTAACACATTTTTAAATGTTATCTCTATAAGTGTTATGTTTGATCTTAATGTATAACTTAAAATTAATTAACAGGTTTGAAAAGTCAAATTAAACATAAACAAATCTCTTTAATTCCAATTATTAGTGGTTCATCGTGTTTTAAGATTAACCACGTACATACAAAAATTTTTTATGTTACCATGTTCATGAAAGAAAGATTAATCTCATACTTCAAGTGTAATTTATGCGCTCCCAGAATCATCAGCTAACACACACTCAATAATTTTCATTCTTTTTAAAATAACTTACACAAAAAAATTAATGCTCATTCGCATTTTCATTATTTAAAGCTTAAGTAAATTTTTTTAATCTTTCTAAATTTCAGTAAAAATTCATTAATTTTTGGATTTAAATGCAACATAGTGTTTAACATTTTTTTTATACAAAACGCTTTTGTGCAGAATTTATGTTTCGTATAGATTTCAGGAAAATAGCGTCCAACTTGGGATGTATAAATAAGTTATCATAAAAAAGCAGGGCATCGAACCGTAATTTTTTTCGTTTCGATTTACAGTTTCGGTTCAATCAGCAAAATGAATTTCGGTTTGATTCCGGTTTTCATTCTTGAAATAATATCGGTCTTCATTTGGGTTTTCGGTTTCACGCCATTTCTTTTTTAGCTTTTTTTGTGTACGAGATGCAGATAATTTGCGTTTGATTAATTATTTAATATGAATACTCAAATTATTAAATTATGCTTTATTGACTCAATTTTAAAGAAAGACGACGATACAAATTTTACTGCAAATTTTGTAAAAGCATTTTCTCTGGTAGTATTTAAAATACTAAAGAAAATGACAGTGACATGGAAGATATTTACGAAAATGGCATATTATTAAAAACAAATATTACTGATTTAATGGAGATAGAAAAAATTGATGCTGATGATGTTCTTATTTTACCCCCGCACAAACGATGTGGTAACCACAATTTGAATCTTGTATCATGTGTAGATGCTTTGAAAGCAAGAGAAAATCAGCAATACAAAAGACTGTATGATAGATGAAAGGTGACATCACTGTCAAACTCTGTACATCAAAGTACTAAAAATGCTCATATTGTACAAGACATTACTGATTCTACTATTTATTCAACCAAATGTTACAAGGTGGTGTTCAGAATTTTATGCAGTAGAAAGAGTTGTTGACATAGGATTCGATAAAATTTGTAGTTGTCAGAAAGAATTAGGACAAACTGTACTTATAGAAAATAAATTTAGTTTTTTGAAGTCTTTTCTCCAAGCCATTAAACCGATAGTAACTGCAACGGATATCATTGAGAGTGAAAATTTATACATAGGTCACATTGTACCAACAATCATTGGAATTAACAAAAAGTTTCACTATGTACAGATAAAGCTGTTCAACCTTTATTGCAAGCAATAATGGTATAGAAAAAAGATTTGGGCAAATTTTAGAAAATGATGAATATCTGTTACCTCTATGCTAATTCCACAATTTAAAACAAACTTTCTTACCTGTAAAAACAAAAAGAATACTCTTAAAAGAAAATTATTGGCATATATAGAAAATATACACAGAGAAATTGAACAATCAAGTAATAGTTTTTTTTAATTGCAATTGATAAATACATATTGAAAATAACTTTTGTTTATTAATGATTTGAAATCACACATTGTTTGAAAATGTTTTTTTGGTAAATGGCTATTTATTTATTTACATTACTCGCAGATTGCAAACCAGTGAGTCCTGTACCTTCGTCTTTTAAAGAAAACGAACCTTAGCAAATAAATAGTGACAAATTTGTATGATTACCTGGAAAATAATCAAAATTTTTCGGATCATGTGTTAGCTGATAAACTCAACAGTTACTTGGCTAACCCGTTTACGAATATTGAAAGTTTATTTTCCTATCCATGAAATGAGAAAGTTCTTGAAGAAGATGAGATCAAGCTACAGTGGAGAGAATACTTCAACCGTCTGTTAAATGAAACAAATCCCATCAATGTCAACTTTGGAATAGAACTATAGCATGACAGTTATAGCATGACAAAGGCAAAGGTAATCCATTGAACTGTTCGGGATATACGTCTGTTGAAACACTCCCTGAAAATGGTCGAGAAAATCATTGAGAGAAGATTAACGTCGTGCCTCACAATCGGAAATTATCAATTTGGTTTCCTAGCGGGGAAATCAACAATTGATGCAATTCACATCCTTCAGCAACTGCAAGAGAAGTAAATCGCAAAGCATCAACAACTATCACACATTTTTGTAGACCTTGAAAAAGCATTTGATCGAGTTCCCCGTGAAGCAATCAGGTGGAGTCTACGTCGACAACTCATTCCAGAATATCTTGTTCGACTTATGATGGAAATGTATACGAATACTAAGACTCTCGTCAGCACAACGGTTGGAAACACAGATGCATTTAACATCGGCGTTGGAGTTCACCAAGACTCGATTTTCAGTCCACTGTTATTTATATCTGTGATGGAAAAAATCACAAAACCGATACGCACTGGTGACATTTGGAATCTAATATATGCTGATGATACTGGACGATGGCCCTGTTCAGTTTGTAAAACTGGTGTAGGTAACAATTCAATCAAGTGTCAGCAGTGTAACCAGTGGTGTCACAAACGTTGTTCAAAAATAATTGGTATTTTATCTAAAGTGTCTAATTTTGTTTGTCCTGCTTGCATCAATCCACAACAACAAATTCAAAATTGCAATGTTTTTGAAGCCCTTAAAATAGAGAAAGTCACATCGTTTCAATATCTAGTGGATGTTCTGGATTGTACTGGAACAGCTGAAGCTGCCGTTCGAGCACGCATACGTGCAGCCTGGAATAAATGGCATCTCCTTGTCTCTAGATTGATGCGGCGTGACATCCTACTACCACTACGATCAAGACTTTATAAATCTGTGATACGTCCGGTGTTGTTATATGGTGCAGAAACATGGCCAATGACAACCAAACTGGAACAACAACTTCAACGAACCGACATGAAAATGCTCCGATGTAAGGACAAATGCCGTCAACACCGTCTGCGGTGGTTTGGTCATGTCAAGTGGAAACAGTGCCATAACTTTTCTTGCAGATGTTGAAGTACCTGGCACACGTCCCAAAGGCCGTCCAAAGAAATCCTGGTCGCAAACAATCGAGCAAGACATGAAAGCTCTAAATTTAAATGAAATGAATACAACTGATCGTCTAATTTTGCGCAAAAAGTTGATGGCAAAGAAAACAACGTCCTACCTCGGGAAACTGGGTCTCTGGACGCTAAACGAAGATTGATTGATTGATTGATATTTTCCTATCCATCAGTATGTGCAAGTTTCATTAAACTAAATTCAA